CTGTGACTCCTTGTGTAACTAATTGCAAGTAACGTGAAGGCTGCACAGGTCTGTCCAACTACAGAAGGCATTATTCTCACTGCTGTGGCGCCTCCTGCTGGTAGCTCTGGGGAATTAGCCCTTTCTCAGCAGGGCGCCCCCTTCTGGCGGTGTCTCGCGTGCCTATGGTCCATGCTCATGTTCCACTGCCTCTCGCTCCCTGGGCCACCTCCCCTGTGGCCCTTTGCACCTCCTGGCCTTGTAGCAAGGCCCCCGCCGGGCAGGGATCAGGCTGGAGCCTCCCTCTCTGGCCCCCCTGGGCCTGCCCAGCCCTGCTCCCTGACAGTGCCTTCTCTGAGGGAACCAGACCCTGCACCCTCCTTGGCCAGGGCCTCACTGACTCTCTCTGCGGGCAGCTCTCTCTATAGGGCTGTCGCTCAGCTCTTTCAAAGCCTCCCCTCAATGAGCCAGGGCTCTGCCCAGGCCCCCTCCAGCCTGCACTGATCCTTCCCAGCCAGTGTGGGGCCGTCGCCCCCCCAAAGAAGGGAATTTGCATATTGGCCAATCATCTCAGGAAACAAAAAGTCATTCCTGGGCATTAGATTTAACTGTGTGCCTGTGGAAAATCGAGTTGTGTATCTCTGTTTGGCCCATTTCCCACACCCGGAAAGTGTTCGGTGAAAGAGTGAAATGACTCTTGAGGAAGAAGGCGTCATAATCCAGGGGCATCTTCTCCACTTGTCTCCACATTTGGTACAAGTAAGTGAGCCACCTCGGCAACAGACTGTGGGTAAAATACTCAAATCATTCAACTCCCTCAGCGTCATCCCTGAGAGACGTACAGACACATGCTACTGACCTGCCACCTGTAGTTCCAGCAGCGCTTCTTCATAAAAGAGGGCATCTTGAACAAAACAGCTGTACCGCCCCTCGTCAGAGAGACTGACGTGAAAAATTTTCAAGGCAATATTCCCCTGGGTCAGACCATCTTTCAAGAGCTCTGTCCTCCCCTGGTATTCCGGCATCTGCTGCTCGTATTGGTCCTTTCCATTACTATAGCGATGGACAAATGGAGAGAGGTGGGCCCGGAACCAAGTCACGTTCATGTTCTCAGCGCTCATCCTGGGGAACAGGCGACAGGGTAACACGACGTCATCTCCCACCAAGGCCGTGACAGGCTGGTCAGGTCCCAACACTTTAAACTGTGCTGTGGAATACAAGAAGAGAGAAGGGAGAAAAGCTCAGGGAGAAGATCTTGCACATTTAGTCAGTGGTGCACACAAAACCAGTCCTGTTTGCTGTAGTTTGTATTCCCTGGAGCTACTGAGAAGAGACCCAGCACAAGGAGATGCCACCAGCCAATGGGCCTTGCAGACTGGCAGGAGGAAGACCCCAGCTGTGGGAGCTAATACCAGAGAGAAGATTCCTGCCACCTTGAGCCTGAGGGCAAGTGTCCGACCCACGGCATCCCTGGGGCACAGTCGGGGCAGGGTGATGGGATTTCCTTTAACATTCCCCATTTTTTACTTATTCTTTTGTTACTGGATTGCTGCTCAATAACGTCTCTTTACTTTGAGCTGTACGCACTGATCAGTGAATGAGTCAGGAAAGTGCCCAGTGCAGAGACAGCACCCGGAATGAGCACAACTCAGCCCCTACTATAGATGACCAAAAGACTGGGGCTTTAGTCCCGTAGGAATCCTGGGCCCAGCCCTGCTGGGTTCCAAGGACTCTGTCACACGGGAAAGTGGAAGTGGAACCCTTGAGGTCAGGAAAGCCACTGGGGCTGTGTCTGCACTACACAGTAAACACATTTCTGAGGCACATGTGCCTCACCAAGGCACTTAATGCAATCAGCATTGCTGGCATCACGTCACGGCATGTGGCTCACTTCTTAAATCCAGGAGAGCCCAGCATAATGGCTAGCAACTAGCTACTAAGTGAATTCTATTTATTTATTTATTTTACTAAATACTAGTAGTTAGTTAGTTATACTTACTACTAGTTAGTTATACTTCATTACTACTAGTTAGTTATACTTCATTTCTACTAGTTAGTTATACTTCATTCACGTTGTTAGTGTAGTTATAGAGGTAATTTTTCCTTTCCTGACTAGATTGTCTGAGGAGAGAGGTCTCACTCTGTCTACGACAGAAGAGCCGGATTGCACACGACATCGAATGGGTTCAAACGGCTCAAGGTGTCACAAATCATGGGTAGTATGAATGGTTGGCATGAGTGGATTAACAGTAAGTGAGCTGAGGAGAGGCTATACTAAGGTTTGAACCAGTGCACTGTAGGATTATGGACTTGTTCACAACTTTGAGAAAAAGGATTGTGTGGAAGAAAAGACTGTGTGTGCTGAGGAGACAAAACTGTACAGGAGGAAACAATGTGGCCAGATAAGAAGAATTAACAAGGGAGAAACCTGACCAAGGATACTTTGTTGCTTATCACTCATGATGAGGCAAGCAGAATTGGGTGATGCAAACCGGGCGCCTCAAGATCAGTCGTGGTCATACTAGCAAGAAGGAGAGTACAGCATCACCCCACTCAGGCTGTGTGCAACCAAAGGACATCACCCCACCCGGATGGTGTACTACCAGTGGATGTTGTCTCACCCAATTTACCCTGCTGCGAAGCTATATACCACACCATTTTGCCACACAAGCTGGAGTCCATCAATTTGGCATATTGGGGTGATGTGCACGTCGGACTTTCACCTGAACCAAATTAACCCAAAGTACCTGGGGTTTGGCCAGCCCCAGGAGATGAGTAGGGTATGTGTATAAGAGCATGTGTGTTAAATTGGATTAAGAATTAGGCTGCTAAATTGGGCTAAGGATTAGATTTAGACTGTTAACTATTCAATTTAAACATTGTTTTTAACATGCTTTTTAACTGATAATTAATCTATATATATATATAGATTAAAACTGCTCCTGAATTGCTGCAATAAAACTTGTTCAAGGTATATTTGAGCTGCTGTGGATTTTTGTTCTGTGACATTAGATCCAGTAGATAAAGTATACTTAGATTTTCAGAAAGCCTTTGACAAGGTCACTCACCAAAGACTCTTCTGAAAGGGTATGTCTACACTACAGCGCTAATTCGAACTAACTTAGTTCAAATTAGTTAATTCGAACTAAGCTAATTCGAACTAACACATCCAGACTAAAAAACTAGTTCAAATTAGCGTTTTGCTAATTCGAACTAGCTTGTCCACATAGAGTGGACCCTGAACCGGGGTTAAGGATGGCCGGAAGCAGTGCCGGCAGGGCATCAGAGGAGGACTTAGAGTGTGGAGCTGCTGTCTCAGGCTAGCCGAGGGCTGCGCTTAAAGGGACCCGACCCCCACCCCGGACAGACAGTTCTAAGGGGTGCCCCTCTTGCAAAGCAGTCCTGGCTTGGAGTGCCCGGAGTGCCCACACTAGGCACATCACACCACTCGGCCATCAGACCGGCTGCACTTGCCGCAGGCTGCCATCTGGGGAGAGGGGGCAATTGGGGGGCTGCAGGAGAGCTTCCACCCCCAGAAGCCCGCAGAGCCAGCCCAGTCCTCCCCATCAGGAGCTCGTACCCCATTCCTTCCTCACCTCCTTCCACTTACCCCTCCCTAGCCCCCCTTCCTGATGTACAAAATAAAGGACAATTGTGTTCAAAAACAGAATCTCTCTTTATTGAACAAAACTGGGGGAGACTGGGAAAAGGAGGTGGGAGAGGGGAAGAGAGAGGGTGGGAGAGGGGAGGGCAACTACAATGATTAGGGGTTTGGAACAGGTCCCATATGAAGAGAGGCTAAAGAGACTGGGACTTTTCAGCTTAGAAAAGAGGAGATGGAGGGGGGTGTGGGAGAAAAATCAAATAACTCCAATTGTGTCTAAAGGGGGGACTGTGCAGGAAATCAAAACTCTCTAAAAGAAAACTGTTGTAAGGGTTAAAAAGTTTTCCAGGCCTCTCTCCCTGTAGAGTTTCCCTGGTGTTGGCCAGAATGGCCACCAGGGAAAGCTGGGGAGGGCTAGCCTCTCACTAGTTCGAATTAAGGGACTACACACCCCTTAATTCGAACTAGTAAGTTCAAACTAGGCTTAGTCCTTGTAGAATGAGGTTTACCTAGTTCGAACTAAGCGCTCCGCTAGTTCGAATTAAGTTCGAACTAACAGAGCGCTAGTGTAGCGCCTATCAAAGTTAATTCGAACTAACATCCGTTAGTTCGAATTAACTTTGTAGTGTAGACATACCCTAAATTACATTGTCATGGGATAAGAGGGAAGGTCCTTTCTTGGATTGAGAACTGGTTAAAAGACAGGAAACAAAGGGTAGGAGTAAATGGTAAATTTTCAGAATGGAGAGGGATAACTAGTGGTGTCCCCCAAGGGTCAGTCCTGGGACCAATCCTGTTCAACTTATTCATAAATGATCTGGAGAAAGGGGTAAGCAGAGAGGTGGTAAAGTTTGCGGATGATACTAAACTGTTTAAGATAGTCAAGACAGAAGCAGACTGTGAAGAACTTCAAAAAGATCTCACAGAACGGAGTGAGTGGGCAACAAAATGGCAAATGAAATTTAATGTGGATAAGTGTAAAGTAATACACGTTGGAAAAAATAACCCCAACTATACGTACAGTATGATGGGGGCTAATTTGGCTACAATAAATCAGGAAAGAGATCTTGGAGTTATTGTGGACAGTTCTCGGAAAACTTCCACACAGTGTGCAGCGGCGGTCAAAAAGGCAAATAGGATGTTAGGAATTATTAAGAAAGGGATAGAAAATAAGACACAGAATATCTTACTGCCCCTGTTTAAAACTATGGTACACCCACATCTTGAATACACTGTACAGACGTGGTCTCCTCACCTCAAAAAAGATAGTTTGGCCTTGGAAAGGGTTCAGAAAAGGGCAACTAAAATGATCAGGGGTTTGGAACGGGTCCCATATGAAGAGAGGCTAAAGCGACTGGGACTCTTCAGTTTAGAAAAGAGGAGACTGAGGGGGGATATGATAGAGGTCTATAAAATCATGAGTGGTGTGGCGAGGGCGAATAAAGAAAAGTTATTTATTAGGTCCCATAATAGAAGAACTAGAGGAAACCAAATGAAATTAATGGGTAGCAGGTTTAAAACTAATAAAAGAAAGTTCTTCTTCACACAGCGCGTAGTCAACCTGTGGAACCACATTGCTGAGGTGAGGGTGACTCCCCTGGGCAGCGTAGGCAGGAGCTAGCCTGTCCCAAGTAGGCATCAGCTCTTTACATTGTTGGCACTTCTTAAAAGGTGTCATGCTGAGGAGATAGCAGTAAAGCTAGGCAGCTGAAGGCTGTAATTAGTTCCTGGCTGTTAACAGCTGATAAGCAGGAGTGTGTGTTCCCCGCCCAGCTTCTCCTTATTTCTTTTATCTCCCCCACCCTCCACTTTCTCTCTCTGTCCTGGTGCCCTCTCTGGTAACAAAAGACAGGACTATGCAAGACTAACAAGATGGTTTATTAGGTTAGTCTTTAAAGTGCTGCATAGTCCTGCATAGTTTGTCGGCTCAGCGCGATAGTCTGGACACGCGGGGGTCGACATCAAAGGTATTTGTCGACCACCCTGGTATGCCTCCTGGGATGAGGTTTACCTGGGTGGTCGACAAATACCTTTGATGTCGACCCCCGCGTGTCCAGACTATCGCGCTGAGCCGACAAACAGCTGATCAGCTGTTTGTCGGCTCAGCGCGGCAGCCATGTAAATTTAAATGAAGCGGCAATTATTTAAATCGCCGCTTCATTTTACTATGTCTGGTAGCCTAATCTACATGCCTCTGGCGATAGAGGCATGTAGTCTAGACATACCCATAGTGAGGAGGGGAGGGAGAGATGGGCAGCTGGCTGAGGAGAAGCAGAACTGCCCCTTATGAAGAGGTCCCAAGGGACCAAAAAGAAAAAAAAATCTAAATCTTCTCTCTCTTTTTTTGGTCTATTTTATCAGAAGGACTAAAGAGAGGGTAAATTCTGAGGTAAAAATTGAAAGGAGCAAGTGCTAGTCTAAGGGAATGTCTCTGAGGAGAGACAGCTGAGGGGCTCTGCCTGTGACTGAGGGTGGTAAGAGAGGAACTGATGGGGAGGGGTCAGGCTGTGCACAAGACAGTTGTCAAACCGCCAATGGTGTGAGCTGCCTCCTGCACATGCGTTCCCTAGTAAACTGCTAGGGAAAAAACTCCGAACTGCAGCTTTGGGGATGACCCATCACCAACAGTGGAACCCCCAACGGGGACATTGCCCAAAGAATTCTTATTTCTTTTCCTACGTAATAGACCTTCTAGCAGCTTATGGCAGGATTGGCTGCAGGCGTTGTCTTTGTGAAGGATCAATTCTAGGGTACAAACTCATCTGGGTAAGTGACTGGTCTCTTGGGACTGGAAACAACCTGAATGTGACGTGATTAGTGATGTAAGTGATCATTTGTCAACTTTATGCAAATCCTTCCCAGCAACCACAGATCACACCTCAGACACACTCACCCAGCAACCTGCCCCTGCAACAAACTCTGTTGTCAACTCTGTTCACACCTCTCTACAAGCGACACCATCACAGGACCTAACCACATAAGCCACCATATCAGGGGCTCATACACCTGCACATCCTCTAATGCCGTGGTCACCAACCAGTAGATCGCGATCTACCTGTAGATCTCAGGGGCTCTAAGAGTAGCTCTTGAGGCCTCTCTGAACTGTGCGCCTGCGCAGTATATTTACATTAGATTTCCTCATGTAATGTAGGCGGGGCTTCAAGGAAGGGGTGGGGCAGTAGATCTTCGCCTGTTCTGAGACTTAAAAAGTGATCTTGGGTGTAAAAAGGTTGGAGACCACTGCTCTAATGTGATGTATGCCATCAAGTGCCAGCAATGCCCCTCTGCCATGTATACTGGCCAAACTGGGCAGTCTCAGCACCACAGGATAAATGGACACTAATCAGACATCAGAAATGGTAACACACAGAAACCTGTAGGAGAACATTGTGACCTGCCTGGGCACTCGATAGTGGATTTAAAAGACACTGTTCTTCTGCAAAGGAATTTCACTAACCAATTACAGACAGAGCCTGAAGAACTGAAATTTATCTTCAGATTTGACACCGTTACCCTGGACCTAAACAAATACATTAACTGGTTGGCACATTACAAAGCCAATTTCTCCTGCCATTAACATCTGCATTTCTACATCAGAAGCTATGAATGGGACACATCCAGTCCACTTCATTAGCCTCATTAACACGGGTCCTACAATTGAGGGGTACTTCTGCTGTTAATTAAATATCTTGGCTTCTGATATTTCCACTCCAGTTCATCTGATGAAGTGATTTTTGCCCAAGAAAGCTCATGAGTCTATATATTTTGGCTAGTCTTACCGTGCCACAGGACCACTCACTGTTTTTAATAAAACAAAGCAAATCAATAAACCATGCAAGAAGCAGCCAAACCCACAGACATTCCTACCTGATTCCAGCTTTTGAACATAAAATGTAATGAAGAAAATGATAACATCAGGCAGAGAGGCGCTGGCTCTGGAGCAGCGGTAAATGGAGAGACCTTTCATTTCACTGGAACTTGATCCAGATGACAGGAGCAGAGAGAGAAACCAAAACAAATGTATTGAATGTAACACAGTGTCAATGATGTAAGACAACCTGGATACAGAGAAAATGGAAAATTATTAACAGGATACATTACTGGCCAAGAGAAAGGCCCGTCATGCACCTAGATTGCATTTCTCTGTTTCTGTGTAACACAACAAGTTTTGGGTGTGGATCTGATCAATTCCAGCTTTTCATGGACTACTCGAATCAATGGACAGAACCCTCAATTTCAGAAACCCAGGCAGAGGAAATGGGGTATACGTGGGCCTGTGGCATCTGGTCAGGGGAGCCATTCACTTCAATCAGGTCTGCAATTGTCTATAGATAAAGGTGCCATTCACAGCTTCCCCTATATCAATAATCCACCTGCCCATCTATCCCTAACCCTGTCCATGATTTGTATGAGTCTTAAAATGTCGACACCCTGAAGGATTTTATCCCAAAAAGGAAAATAATAATTCACTGGAAAAAAAAACCCAACAACACAAAGTTAAAGCTGATCTAGTCCACAGTTACTGCAAGGTGTTCAGACATTGTAGGAGCACAATATAAGTAGGCCAGAGGAACAGAGTATCAAGTACATCAACCAGCATCCTCACATGTAAAACTTTTGGAGTTAACTACTTGTTTAGCCTCTACAAAACAGGGTGCCCATCCAGCCTGTTTTCACGGGACAGTGTCTTATTAAAGGTGTCCCGCCATTTTTTAAAAATGGGCAAATTGTCCCATATCTCTTGTTTCCCCTGCTGGCCAGTTGGTGTCACCAGAGGCAGCCACCTCTTGCACGTGGCTGGAGAATGCATGAGGGCAGGCAGTGCCCAACAGGGGGCGCTTTCAGGCAGGGTGCAGAGGCAGAAGGACATAAAGTCAGTAGGAATATGTCTATACTAGCCCCCTAGATCGATCTAGGGAGGCTAATGAGGGCGACCGGGATTGCAAATCAAGCCCGGGATTTAATTATCCCGCGCTTGATTTGCATGTTCCTGGCTGGTCACCATTTTAGAAATTCACTAGCCCGAAGTAACTGCCTGCATCTACACGCGGCAGTGAAATCGGCTTCCAATTTAAAGCCCTTCACTCGAATTAGCTGGTAAACCTCATTGCAGGAGGAATACCAGCTAATTTGAGCTAGGGCTTTAAATCGGAATCCCGTTTCACTGCCGCATGTAGACGCGGGCAGTTACTCCGGGCTAGTGAATTTCTAAAATGGTGACCGGCCAGGAACATGCAAATCAAGTGTGGGATATTTAAATCCCGGGCTTGATTTGCAATTCCGGTCACCCTCATTAGCCTCCCTAGATCAATCTAGGGGGCTAATGTAGACATACCCTAGGAAAATAGGCAGTGTGTGTGATAGAGGGGTCAGGGTGCGGAGGTGAATGAGGCATGTGTGGGGTACCTTCCCCAAAAGCACCTCAAAGCTCCCTAAAGTGGGCTCTCTCTACCCAGGGAGCACGGGCTGCCCAGCCTTTCTGGCTGTGTGGCCAAAGCCCCAATCCTTGACAGCCCCAGTGGGGCTGAAATTCCAATTCATGGTGTCACCTCCACTGAATTCTCAGCACTTCCCCCAGGCTACAGCCCTGTTCCACAGTGCCCCCCTGAATCCCCAGCATCCCCCCAATCCCTGCCCCCTGGCACTCCATGGGCCATGAGCGGTGGGGCTCTAGCTGGGAGGGACAGGGCTGAGTCCTGCATGTTTAGGGCTCCCTGTGGGGGAGAAACCTCCAGAGCCCCTGGGAAGAGGCGGGGGGTCTCTAGCAAGCGCAGTGCAGCCCCTACGAGAGCTCCCCAACCCTTCCTCTCTCCGCCCCCAGCCAGATCAGAGGCCAGAGTCTGAGCCACGGGGCAGCAACTCCCTTTGCTGCTGCTGGTACAAGGGGTTAAGGTTACCCTCAGTGCACAGCTCCTTCTGCTCAAACAGCCAGGGTATGTCTACACTATAAAGTTAATTCGAAATAACAGCAGTAATTTTGAATTAACTTTAATAGCATCTACACAGGCAAACCGCTATTTCGAAATAAATTCGAAATAGCGGAGCGTTTAATTCTAATTTGGTAAACATCATTCTATGAGGAGTAACGCCAAATTCAAAATAGCTATTTCGAATTAAGTGCTGTGTAGACACTTAATTCGAAATAGGGGGCCTCCAGCCCTTCCCAGGGAGCCCTGGTGGCCACTCTGGGCACAGCCAGGAAAACTTACTCTCCTCTCCCCCAGCCCCGGAGCCCTTAAAGGGGTAGAGTCTGGCCACAGTGCCTGTGGCAGCTCCATGGCTGCCAGGCCTGCAGTAACCCCAAAACATGAGCCAGCAAGCCACTGGCAGCCAGCCCTCCACTGCTCCCCAGGAGCAGTCTGCCAGCTCCCAGGAGCCTGACAGGGGCTGGAGAAGGCAGGCACCCTCCTGGTCCAGAGTGGAGATCCTGGACCTTCTTTAGGTTTGGGGGTGATGCTCCCAACTTTCATGATCTCAGCCCTAGACAGAGGAACGTAGCTGTCTAGGGCAGGATAGCTGCCAGCCTGGCCACCAAAGGCCACATGCGAACCCAGGAGCAGGTTTGCATGAAAGTCAGGTTAGTCCGGCGAGAGCCCCCAAACTTGAGCCCTGAGCTTCCCCTCCCCCTTCTTCCCCTTGCTACCCCCTTCCAGCTCCTTCCTCCCAGATTTCCCACTCCCCTCTTCCACTCTCTCTTTTCCCCTCTCCCACCTCCTTTTTCCAGTCTCCCCAGGGGTTCATCCCCCCCGCCCCACTTTTGTTCAATAAACCCAGTTTCTATTTTTGAACATACATGTCATTTATTTGATGTCAGGAAGGGGGGCTAGGGAGGGGTAAGTGGAAGGACGTGAGGGAGGAATGGGGCACGAGCCCCCGGTGGGAAGGACCAGGAAGACTCTGAGGGCTCCACGGGGTGGACACTCTCCCTCAGGGCCTCCTGGGTCTTGACAGCCCCCCAGGGGACCACCGGATGGCAGCCTGCAGCAAGTGCAGCCGGGCTGATGGCAATGACCTCACAAGAGGCACCGGCATGCCCAGCGGCAGCTCTGGCTCCATGTGGCCAAGTGCTGTGGTGTCCTGAGTGTGGGCACTCAGGGCACTCCAAGTCAGGACTGCTTTGCTGTACCTCATCGAGTTAGACAAGCAAGTGGGGAACCCTGAGAACTGTCTGTCTGGGGTGGGGGTTGGGTCCCTTTAGGCATGGAATTCAGTTAGCCTCAGGCAGCAGCCCCACACACTAAGTCCCAACCTGATGCCCTGCCGGCACTGGTTCTAGCCAGCCTTAACTTCGGTTCAGGGTCCACTCAGTGTGGATGTGCTATTTTGAAATAGCATTTTGCTATTTTGAAATAGTTTTTGTGTATAGATGCGTTATTTCGAATTAGCTTAATTCGAATTAACTATTTCGAATTAAGTTAATTCGAAATAGTGCTGTAGTGTAGACATACCCCCAGTAATGAATTATTCCTACCCTTTGTTTCCTGTCCTTTAGCCAGTTCTCAATCCATGGGAGGACTTCCTCTCCTATCCCATCACAACTTACTTTACTTAAAAGCCTTGGGTGAGGGTCTTTGTTAAAGGCTTTCTGGCAATCTAAGCACACTATATCCACTGGATCCCCCTTGTTCACATGTTTGTTGACCCCCTCAAAGAACTCCAGTAGATTAGGAAGGCAGGATTTCCCTTTACAGAAACCATGTTGACTTTTCCCCAACAAATATGTTCATCCACGTGTCTGACAATTTTATTCTTTACTATAGTTTCAACTAATTTGCCCAGTACTGACGTTAGACTTACCGGTCTGTAATTGCCAGGATCACCTTTAGAGCCCTTTGTAAACACTGGCATCACGTTCGCTATCTTCCAGTCATTAGGTAGAGACACTGATTTAAAGGAAAGGTTACAAACCACAGTTAATAGTTCAGCACTTTCACATCTGAGTTCTTTCAGAACTCTTTGGTGAATGCCATCTGGTCTCAGGGACCGGTTACTGTTAAGTTTATCAGTTTGTTCCAAAACCTCCTCCTCTAATCACACAAATTTGGTACTTCTCAGTAGGAGGGTGCTGCTATATCTACCAATGCACTATATCTACACAAATGTACTGAGATTTGTTTAGTACATAGGTGGGGAGGGATAGCTCAGTGGTTTGAGCATTTGGTTTACTAAGCCCAAGATTGTGAGTTCAATCCTTACAGGAGTAAAAATTTGTGAGGGATGGTACTTTGTCCTGCTATGAAGGCAGCAGACTGGACTCCATTACCCAAGGTCCCTTCTGACTCTAGGAGATACACAATCTCTATTATATACTTATTAATGTTTTTTTAAATTTTTACATGTGTTAAAATTGTGAATGACATTTCTTATTTATCAGTCATGATGAGGGATTATTACAGATGGAATCTGGAATTCAATTACAAATGCAAACTAACAAACAACAACAAAATAATAAAATGCCCAAAACAACCATTTTTTATTTGTTAAATAAAACATGTTTAAATGTGAGGGATATTGAAAAAAATAGTAAGCTTATCAAAGCAAGTTTTATGTTTAAAAATGGATTTGTGTAACAGAGGAATTATTATCTATAGGTAGTGAATTGAAACAGGTTGTGCCCATGAAAGCTCATGAGACCATCTTCAATTTTGTTAGTCTGGAGGGCATGATTTTCCAGAAATGCTTTAACGGAAAAGTTTTCTGTTAAAAGCATTTTCGGAACAGAGCGTCTAGATTGGCACGGACACTTTGCCGCAAAGCACTTTTTGCGGAAAAGCGTCTGTGCCAATGTAGATGCGCTTTTCCGCAAAAAAGCCCCGATCACCATTTTCGCGATCGGGGCTTTTTTGTGGAAAACAAATCTGGGCTGTCTACACTGGTCCTTTTGCACAAAAGTTTTGCGCAAAAGGACTTTTGCCTGAACAGGAGCAGCATAGTATTTCCGCAAGAAGCACTGATTTCTTACAGTAGGAAGTCAGTGCTTTTGCAGAAATTCAAGCGGCCAGTGTAGGCAGCTGGAAAGTTTTTCCGGAAAAGCAGCTGATTTTCTGGAAAAACTGGCCAGTCTAGACACAGCCTAAGGGTATGTCTACACTTACACCCTCTTTTGAGAGAGGGATGCAAATGTAGAGGTTCGAAATTGCAAACGATGCTAGGATGTAAATATCCCATACTTCATTTGCATATTTGTGGATGGACGCTATTTCTAAATACCTTATTTTGAATAAAAAAATGCTGTTTAGATGCAGTTATTTAGAAAGAAAACCCTTCTTCTGAAATAACTGTTAAACCTCAAATAGGCTACGTCTACACTGGCCCCTTTTCCGGAAGGGGCATGTAAATTTCACTAGTCGTCGTAGGGAAATCCGCGGGGGATTTAAATATCCCCCGCGGCATTTAAATAAAAATGTCCGCCGCTTTTTTCCGGCTTTTAAAAAAGCCGGAAAAGAGCGTCTAGACTGGCCCCGATCCTCCGGAAAAAGTGCCCTTTTCCGGAGGCTCTTATTCCTACTTCAAAGTAGGAATAAGAGCCTCCGGAAAAGGGCACTTTTTCCGGAGGATCGGGGCCAGTCTAGACGCTCTTTTCCGGCTTTTTTAAAAGCCGGAAAAAAGCGGCGGACATTTTTATTTAAATGCCGCGGGGGATATTTAAATCCCCCGCGGATTTCCCTACGACGACTGCTGAAATTTACATGCCCCTTCCGGAAAAGGGGCCAGTGTAGACGTAGCCATAAGGTTTAACAATTTAACAATGGTCACCTCGTCCTTCAAGCTTTTCAAACTAGTAGAGTTCATCCTCCCAGGGCCGGCCTTAAGCCGATTCGCCCGAATGGAGCCCCGCACCTAAAGGGGTCCCAAGCCCTGAACCCAGAAGCGTGCCAGGCACCATGGTTGGCGAGTGACTATTCAGAGCCGGGGGCCCTGCTCCAGCAATATGTGGAGCTAGGTCTCTCCCCTGGCTCTGCCTGGAGTGGGCCCCGGCCCCTACCTGCCAGCCCCACTTCGCATGTCCTCCCACCCCGCGTTCAGAGAGTCTCCCTCGGCCCTGGACCGTCCCTGCTGTGCACAGCTCCCCCTTGCCGGCTGCTGCTGCCATGTGCGGCATTCCCATGAGCGGGGATATGCATGGGCATGATGTAATGTCCCAGCCCGGGACTTTAAAAGTGCTTGGTGCCGTGTTGAGAAGGAGGGGGGCTTCTGCAGAGGGGAAGACAGGAGAGGAAGGGAGTACTAGCAGAAGGCTTGAAAGAAGGAGTGGGCATAAGAAAGGTGGGATTGGAGCAAGTCATGTACGAGGGCACAGGGGCAGGAGAGGAAAAGGGGCAGAGAGTGGTGAGAGGGTGGGCATCAGGGAAAAAGAGGGCAAAGGGAGCAAGGGCAGTGAGGGAAGGGGGAGCACCAGGAGAGTACAGGGCTAAGGGAAGGTGCAGGTGCCAGGGGATTCTGGGGGTGAAGCAGAAGGGCAGACACCTGCAGGGGAGGGACCAGCCCCAGAGGAGAGAGGCAGGGCAGGTGCGTAGAGGGAGGCATTAGAAGAGGGGAAGAGGAGGGGTAGCTCACATGATCAGAGTGGGGCTACTGGAGGAGTGGGCACAGGGGGGAGAGAAGGACTGCTGGAGGGGTAGGTTGCAGGAGGGCTGAGAGCCATGAGAAGGGCAGGAGTCAGGACAGCAGAAGAGGGTGAGGAGTTGGGGGGCAGCAGGCACCAGGGGAGCTGATGGAGCAAGGGGAAAAGACATGGCAGCAGAGAGAAAAGGGAAAGGGTTATAAAATATTTATTAATAACTTGGGTGCCACAGGGGCACATCCAAACAAGCCACATGAACTCAGTACAGGTGCACAACACAAAATTCATTCTGCTCATGGGAGGAAACTCTTAGCCTATGTCTACACTGGCAGCTTCTTGCGCAAGGGTTCTTGTGCAAGAACCCACAGAGCATCCACACTGCCCGCCTGCTCTTGTGCAAGGAAATTTACAGTATGGCGTGGTAAGAGAGGGCGTCTTGTGCAAGAGCTTCGCTCTTTTCTAACAGATGTAAGCTCTCTTGCTCAAGACGGCAGTGTCGATGCTCAGCAGGGATTTCTTGCGCAAGAAATCCCTGCTGAGCATCGACACTGCCGTCTTGAGCAAGAGAGCTTACATCTGTTAGAAAAGAGCGAAGCTCTTGCACAAGACGCCCTCTCTTACCACGCCATACTGTAAATTTCCTTGCACAAGAGCAGGCGGGCAGTGTGGATGCTCTGTGGGTTCTTGCACAAGAACGGCTGTACTTGCGCAAGAAGCTGCGAGTGTAGACATAGCCTTAGAGGGAACACTTCCCCCAGCCTCTCCACCCCTGAGTTAATGTCACACACGTTGGGTTAATGCAATTGCAGGACAGTTGTATGAGGGGGGTTTGGTGGGGGCCAAACTAATCCCTGTTGGTAGGAGGATGGTGGGAAAAGTCCTTCGAAAGGGGTGACATGACACCTTTTACTTCTGGTCATGTGTCCATCTTGCCCCAAGCGTGTTACCTGCTGAGGCCTGGTTAACGGGGATCAGGGGGTGTGGCTAATGGGGGTCAGGGCGTGGTTAACGGGGGTCATGGGCTGTGGCTAATGGGGGTCAGGGCATGGTTAGCGGGGTGTGGTTAACAGTGGTCAGGGGGTGTGGCTAATGGGGCACCACCAAAAATTATACAAATCTGCTGCCCCTGCAGGCCCTGCAGGAGGAGTGCATCAGCTACCTGCACAGAGTTTAGCGCAGGGTTTTTGTGTGCGTGTGGGTGTGGTGGGGTATTTTTTGTGCCTTTTTTTTTGCTCAACCAAAATTGCTGCAGGGCCCCGTTGAAATTGTTTGAATTGGGCCCCACACTTCCTAAAGCCAGCCCTGCATCCTCCCACACCTGACTTGTTAAACAGAGATTGGAAGAGGATAAAAAGTCAGCCTGGGTTTTCAACTCCAAGTCAGCATCTGAGCTCTGACTGATCTACATGATAACAGTGTAGAATCGGGCTGTTATAAGGAGACCCTGTGCTAATGACACACAGTATCAGCAGATAAAGAAACAGAACTCAAGATGGGTAAAGAAAACTTAGCGTAACTGCACTTTGGCTGGCAACAAACCGCCTATCAATAGTTGGGGTTGTGAAATCCTCATTTCTTTATTGGTCTGTCATTATGATACCCTCATCCCTATTTTTTGTACAATCTCATTTCTCTAATTGTTTCTGTCTGTTGCATGGCTAATTTTGGTCTAAATCAATGAAGGTGGTGGGGTGTGCTTGGTTAGAGAGCTGGTGCGATTGGTTAGTAAAATTGCAGTAAAATAACTGGCTCACACATAGCTAAGCAGGGGTCAAATTTCACTGTATAAACTGGGCTTCAAAAGAAAGCTCTTTGGGAAGCAGCCCCAAGACACAGTTCCAAGCCCATAGCAGCTGGACCATGACTCTGTGCTTTGATAAAATGCAGACTCAGCAGTGCCCCAGATGGACCTGCTCCAGACTGGCCAATGAGAAACACTCCTCTGCCTTATTGGGAGGGCTGAGCAGTGTATGCCATCTGTTTTGAGTGACTGTTCAAAAACAGTGATTAAGGAGGATATTACTGTGTAAGGCGCTTTCACTGACAAAAGACCCTGAAAACCCAGAGTATAAGGTTATGCCTGAGCCCAAAGATACGTAACAGTGGGGGTATGTCTAGACTACATGGCTCTGTTGCCAGAGCCATGTAGATTAGTTTACTAGACATACCCAAATGAAGCCACAATTTAAATAATCATGGCTTCATTTACATGAAAATGGCACAGCGGGGCAGCCTAGATGCACCGCGGTCGACAGGGAAGCCTCTGTCGACTGCCCTGGTAAACCTTGTTTCATGAGGCATAATGGAGCGGTGGACAGAGGCTTCCTGTCAACCGCGGCGCGTCTAG